GCAGACTGATCACTAAATAGATACAACTAGGTGCAAATTCTGACATTACCACAAACCACTTGGTTCTTTCGCTCCATTATTGCGGAGCGGCATACCAGAAAAAAGAAAAAAGATCTGGGCCTGGTCTGGTCGACCCAATCATGATATTTCGACACATTGGGGCTATGGGATTCGAACCCAATTCTTCCACGACCCCCATTTCCTTCTCTTATGAGATTTTATTTTTAAGATCACATCACCTTTCATACCAAAAATAAAGCTCCTCATATACGATAGCACCAATGATAGAAGTAGAGAATGCTATCCTTCTTCTTTATTTCATCTGCAGAGCCTAATCCCTTTATCCCCTCTCCCTTAGGTTAGGGTGCATTCCTGGTGAGTAAGCCGAGTCCTTCTTGCTTGAAAGGAATAATAGCTTGCTTCCTTTATGACTGAAAACTCTTTATAATTCCAATTAGGCCTGAGCCCTTGTGGTAAATTAGCCAGCCCACTTCCATCAGTTCTGACTTCCTAAGGAAGTGTAAGCCATACTTTCTTGGCGCTGTCAGCCACGCTTTGTTTGAGATCTGTTGTAGGGCATGTGAACTTCTTTGTAAACGGGCTTCTTCCTAGGTCATTCGCTTGCGACCACTTACTGGAAAGACTTGCGTTATGCCTATCCCTTGTTTGCTGGATTTTCCTTGCCAGATTTCCTTTCAAAACTACTGCTTGTCCTGTTAGTCTGTTAGATCGCATGGACAGAACTCCTAATTCCTAATTAATGGCTGGCAGGTAACGGGAAATGAATGGAATGGCATTGGCTTATAGGGCACTCCCTCTGGATGGATTAAGATAACAGGCCTCGTCCCAAAGCAAAGGAAGAAAGAGGCTTGCTCACATAAAATATCCCAGCAAGGGAAAGATCAGCCCCATAGCGTATTCAAGTATATCCGCAATCACATATTCTGGGCCATCTGCAGCCTATATATATGTATTTCCTGCAATGTCCAGGCCATTTCCTTTCGATGGCAGATCCCGTGGAAGTTCACTTTGTTTTTCTGTCGGACCAGGAGAGTGAATCGAATAGGTTACATAGGCAGGACAGACGAGTTCTCATACATTTCCTGGCGTTGTTAGCCTGCCCTAATCTACTTCCTTCTCCTTTTTAGAAGTGACTGTTTACTCATCTTTTCCGAAGTGAGCATATACTGAATCTTCCCTAGTGTAAGAAAGTTGATTTCTATTTCTAAAACTTGCCTCTTGTAAGTGAGTGTATAAAATGGCATATTTAAGTTAGTTTGAAAGCCGGGTTATTAAAATCCCAATGCCCTCTTTTGACATTGTTCGAGTTCTCTAGCGCCTGAGTCTGTTACGGTGAGTGAGGAAGCCTTTAAATTGAAACAGACATTTCTTTTATTCAAGTAGGAATTATAGGCAAGCTAGCAATTCTTCAAGTGAGAGTTTACATCCAGTGCTACATTTAGAGTTCCAGTTGCAGGAAAGAGACTTAGGAGAGCCAGCAGGCGCCAGCAAGCTAGGTTTTAAGTGAGCAATCTTGTGATTTCCTTGCCATCCAATTACAATTACAGTTGCTATCTAGTTTCAGTGCCTGTGAGTAAACCAGTTCAAGCAAGGGTAAAAGCATATTCCGATTCTGACTAGCTGATTATAGAGTCATATGCTAGGCCAGTTTCCAATCATCCTGTTTTTAGTTTGTCGTGCCAGGCGAGCAAATGGGTTCCCTAGGCAGTAATTGGTTGCAGGGCATTTTCCTTGGATGTTTTTTCTGTCATATAGATATAGAACAACAGGTAAAGCCTTAATGAAACCTTTGGGTGATCAAAGAAGAGAATCAAGGCTCCTCTCCTTTTCTAGGAATCTACAACTCTCTTTAGTGAGCGAGACTCTACCCAGATCTAAAGAATTCGCCAAAGAGCCTTCTTCTAACTAGGAGAGTAAGCAAGCTACCGGAAGCGAAGCTTCTGGCTCCCCCTTTGAATTTCCAATTCCTTCTTTTCGTTCTACTTAGGTGGAGCAATCCGAACTCTCGACAGAATATAAAAGAGCGTCTTCGAACCTGTGTAGACACCTCAACGAACTCATGTGGACACTCCTCAGCCCGAGCCGAGGACAATTTATAAAAAATACACATTAAGATGTTGACCCGCTTTTCTTTTCTTTGCTGATTCCTCTCAATGAAATTTGCCATGTTGCACTAAGTTACTTACGTATGTATGCATGCGGTCCGGGAACACTTTGGGGTGAACACCCATCCGAACAAGTAGGGTCAATAGTTCAGCATTTAGGCCGTAACATTTAGCAACAAAAAAATCTTTAACCCAACAAGTGCTCTCCGAACCAAGCTAGATAGTCTCCTATCACTAGGCTCACTAACCAACCTGGACTTTTATTCTGATTATTCCTACTGGATATCAAAACCATAAGGATTGTTTCCAGCCATGAGTTCCCATATTACATAAGCGCTCTTGGGTGGGCTGGGCCATTCCATCAAATCTTTGAGGAGGGGCCCAATCTCGTATTTTATGGTCGGCGTGGCGATAGGCTTCGCTTCTACGACTGCCTCCCCAGCCGTTGCAAAGACTGAGCGAGAACGGGGAGGAATGTCGTTGCGCGGGGATGCGATTAGCCAAGCTGGGGCAAACAAAGCCGTCCGGCCCCCTACCGGATTAGGAATGCGAAGGCCTTTCCTTCGAAAGGAGACCGGGGAAATAAAGAGCTATGCTATTGACCAACCCTTTCGTAGTGACTTCGAATCAATAATCCTATCCTTTTTTATCATTTTGTTTGAGGCGGGCCGAATAGAGAATGAAATGCAGAAATACGAGAAGAGTTCCAAACCGGTTTAAGGGTTGCTCGCCCTACTGAAGTACTAAAGGCTTTCGAGGCTTACACCTCCCTATTACACGACATAAAAAAAGGTAGCTTGTTGTAGCGCCCTTAAAAGAAATCTAAGCCTTTTGAAGCACCAGTAGTTGTAGTTGTGGCCACACCAACCCTTTCGTTCTTATCGCTCCGGGTTTCTATCTATATGACCTCCGGGCGGTACAAAGTACACCTCTTCCGTAGAGGCAGGTAGTAACATACCTAACCTTTAAGAGTATGTTCAAGGGGGGAGCCCTCTTATCTATCAATGGAAAGATCTCTGTGCGTGATAAGGAATCCTAGAAAAGATCAATTGAGACTCCCTCCCCTGTCCCAGGAAGATCTCTACGTACTTGTCAAGTCCAGGACAACTGAGATCTTCCGGTCTGCGTGCGTGGGAGCAGCTCAAATAAAGAAGAGTCTGGTCTGAATTCAGGCCCGGCCCGCCCGTCTGCTGCTAGATTTGAGAATGGCGCCAGGCGAGGGCGCCGCTATGCCCCACAGCTCTGCAGCGGCCGGCCCCCGGACTATGCAAAAGAAAGAATAGAGGTCGGGGGGTCTCTCCCATAGTGGTTCTCCCCCGCCTTTGGTGATTGACCAAACTAAGAGGCCTAGATCTGTGCCCCTTAATGAATCGAATGGTCCTTCGGCCCCTTCATTTTATTCCAACGACCGGCATAGATATCATGAGACCCGCCCAATATTACTACGAAAAAAGCCTTGCCTTTTCCCTTCTAACTAGGAGAGTAAGCAACTTCTATTAGCGTCGGACCTTGAGTCGAATTGATCGTGTCATGTGCAACGTCCATCAATGATGGTTCATTAATGTCCATTGATTTAGACTCCTTCCCCCTTCCCAACTACGAATAAGATCGAGAGGAGCCCCCCAAGAACGAAAACGGAAGGATTTCGATTCACTCCCCATTATCTCTTAAATAAAGCTCGCCCTCGAGCCTTAGGCAGGTCGGCCGGGTCTTTCCCTGTTGTTCTGTTCCCGCCACGAGAAAGACGCACAGAAGGAAGAGGTATCCCCGGCGGGCAGAGGATCCGTTGAGAGTGTCTGTTGTATCGGTAGGGAACTTTACGATCTTTTCCCTGTATTGAATAAAAAATAATACGTCAGTGCTATGGCCCTCTATTGTTTGATCCAATATTGACCGGGGACGAGCCCCGACTTCGATAGGGCCTTTCCTTGGTTTGACCTCCCATAGTGGTCCTTGCTTTTAATAAAGCTCCGCGGGGCTAATTTATCATACTTGCTCAGTTTTCCCCCCTTTCTTCGAGTGCCCCGCCCGGTTCACTGGGCTGTTGGCCTACCAAGCACTTGCCCGCAGCTCATGCCGCCCGCCAAGTGGGCAGAGCGCTCGTTATCCTTACTGTTCTCTATGTCGGGGCCCCCTCCCATTGCTCTAGCCATAAGCTATGGCAGCTCCAGCTCGAAACCAAAGGGGCCCGCCCTGCGAGGCCAGAGTGGGCTCAGTGGTCAGCCCCCATTCAAATTAAGGGGTCTTTAGCTTTTGCCAGATATAGAGAGATACTACGAGTCCTCCATCCCAGATTCCATCGCCGCGGCCATCTGGTTCACCGGTACTACCAAAAAGTCTCATGCTTACGTTACTACTGTTACTGATGGTTTGATTATCTTGGACCCCGGTCGGTCGTGCTTCTGGTTTCCATTCCCATCATCATATTGATATGATCAATCTCCTCGCGCTCTGCCATAAGAACTTGGAGTCCGTATCATGGTGAAGGTAAGGTAACACTGTGATTCTTGCTCAAAAAACAGACCGAATGCGTTCGAGTTATTGGCTCGTCCAACCCGACATCATTCATGAGTCGCTCGTTCAAATGTCCCTCGGAGACACGGTCGAGAACATGCATGGTTACCCCCCGTCCTTTCTTGCTCTCGGTCCCACCCAGCAAGATACGGCTCAGCCAAAAAACGTGAGCGCCCCTGCGCGAGCCTTATTTTTTTAGTAAAGTCACCCTAAAGACTAAAGACAGAAATGGATCAAAAAAAGGGGGGACTTCTGCAACGGGCTATACCACCCAAACCAACTGAGGGAAGTCGCATCCGCCCCATCGCAAGCACCTACAATGTCATGATCACATTGGTTTACCCTTTTTTCCTTGGTAGTTCAACGGACGGTCGCCCCTCCAACAAGAAAAGGTATAAATATGGAAACTTCTCTGCCATTTGGATCGGAGAATTTATGGAGGAAATCGGCTTTTAAATTTCCAGAAACCACACGATTATATAGCCAAAGGGAATACGCCGCGCCTAAAATCATCCCAAGCGCTGCTAATGTGGCTACTAAGCTATTTCTTTGGAAAGCTCCTACTGAGATGGGAAATTCCCCGATAAAGCTGCTAGTACTGGGTGAACTCATATTGGCCAAAGTGGAAGAGAAGGAAATGGTAGAGAGATTCGGCATGGTGCTCACTAACCCTCCGTAATATCTAACAAGTCGAGTCTTATGTCGGTCATATAGAACACCAACACATAGAAAAAGGGCTGAAGGAACCAGTCCATGACTTAACATCGGTGGAATGCTACCTCCAATTCCCTGTATGTTCGATAGAGCCAAAGATTCCCCCCCCCCTCCACTGATCGGAGTACGTCGATTACCCCCCGAACCGTACAAGATAGTTACCGCCTATCATACAGCTTTCTAACTTAACTTTTTTTTTCTGGTCGTTCCGCTCTGTCGATGGATGGTAGTATAAGAGATCTGATCTGTAACCCCCCAAATTTTTTTACATAAGGGTTCCTGCTTTCTACCCATAGTTAGCATGTATCTCCCTGGGTCATACTTGAGTATCACATCATAGACCCCCACCCCAACTCTATCTTCCTTATCAGTGAACCGAAAATAGTGCATAGGTACTTTTCAATGCAGCAGGGACGAGATGACATACTACGACCACGTACAAAAGTGCTTCCCTTCGGCTCGGCAATATGGAACCTCTCAACAGCCCCTGTTCCTTTATGAGGTCCTATTGGGATAGGTAGGCCCAACCCAAGCCCTCCCCCTCCCTCCATAAGACCCTCTTTCTCTTTCCCCCTCGAGAAAGAGAAGAAAGGGTTTATCTTCTTTCATGTGAATGGACCTATCTTGTATCGAAAGGTTTTTCGTGCTATACACCACGTTGAGAAAGACCAGCCTCCTATGTACCGTACCATTTTTTTGACCCGGGAGGTCCTCCTTATGATGCTACGGACGGCTGTCCGAAGTGCAAGGGGTAAACTCGGAAGAGGATAGGATTGCGCGCGCCGGGCCTTCCCTTCGGGTGTCCAATTTTGGCCGAGTTTACCGTACCTCCGACCCTTATGTTACGCGACCGTAATCTTTTTTTATGTTCCACCGCTGTTACGCCAGAAAGAAAAGGTTCCACACGAGCTCCCGTTCTGCGGCGTGGTGGCAGGACCGATAGGAGATTGGCTTCGGGTGTAGATAGGGTAAAATCCGCAGGAGTCATGCAAATACTTAGGCCCCTTCCCCTCTCTTTTAGATGAATGGGGTGGTTTGGTTTATAACGTCTTTTCCTATCTATGGTCCCTCTGAGCGAGGGGTTAGGCAGGTAGTATGGGCCCTCTGACTTCCAGCTATGTGTTGTGCGGCTCCCGCGAAGCGAATGAAGGGAAGCTCTTCGAGCTTACGCTTACTCTCAGCCTCTTTGATTAGTAGGCGGGCGGGCCCCCTACTTAAGATTCCATTCATAAGGGTAATTTTCTGTTGTCATGACGCTTTGGTTAGGCCGACTACTAGACTACTAGAGGTTACTTCTAGCTTCTATAGGGGCCTTTCCACGTGTAGTTTTAGTTTGTATTGGTACTGAATGAACATATCAAACAGGGGCGAGCAGTATAAGCCTTTCTCTGGCCTGGGAAAAGCAGCGAACTCTAGAAGCTAGGGCGTTGTTCACCTTTGGACACGAACACTATTCTGTTCTCAGCGTAAACCTGCCTTAGAGATTGAACGGCAATAAGATAAGTCGACGTTCAACCTAAGACAGCGCTGATAGCTTGTAGTGAATAGCCCCCTTCTTTACCAACCGAAAGCAGCCTTTGGTACTTAACTTAAGTAGGGAACCCTTGCAACTATGATAGAAAGTCGTTTGCTTGTTGCCAAACCCTTCGCCTTTCTTTTGTTTTGAATCAAAGTAGGTCGCGACTGTTGTATTTTTGTTTAGTAGGTCGGGGGAAGCTAACGCTTATACGACAGCTCTGCTTCCTCGTCTTGCTTCTGGCAAAGCTTCTACTTTGCTTGCGCGAAGGCTCATTAAGTCCTTTTCACTAGGTCCAAAAGCTTCCGTCAAAGCTAAAGATCTGATCCAACTGAAATCCCGCACGCATATCCGTTGCGCTCAATATGCGGCTACGGCTAGGCGATCATATCGTGCCAAAAAACCTTTTTTTTTATGTATAGAGAGATCCCCTAGATATACAGATAGAATAGATGTTCATGGATAGACAGATATTCCATTGATTCTTAGTTTTGGGGATGAAAAAGCTCGTCGATCCAAATGAATCATTCTTGTGGTCCCTCTTCGCCCCCCGCCCCGAAACTGACCCACAGCACAGCGCCCATTCGCTTCGCGCGCGGGAAGGCTACGAAGTTCAGTTCATGAGACCGCGGCGGAGTGGAGCAGCCGCGACACGAAGTTCCTTACCTTAGCTGGATCTCGCTGGTGCCACCTAAACGGTAAGTAGGCGACGGATGTGTTACGTTTGGAGTTGTCGTTCGTGCACCTGTCCCCAATGGAAGAATGAGTGATCCGTTCCCCTGCGGATCATGGCCTTACCACTCGGTCCCCGATGGCCTGCGGGGGATTCGGTATAGCAGCTTACGTTTTTTTGCGCTGCGCGTTCCTGCTGGACACGTGTTAGCTGTAGGAAGTATGGTTCCGAAAGTGACTTCGGTTCGCCAGTTCAGGCTCAACTCCTCGCTTTACGTTAGCGGACCTACACTACAGGTCGGGCCGGGGCTCTGCGCTCTTTCTTTCTGTGTGGGACGATGTCGGGGAGAGAAGGGAATGCGTCGAGGCGGCGAACAACACAAACAACTAGATTTTTGCTTTTCCCTCCATCCATGACAGTGCATTGGACCGATGGATAAGAGAACTGAGCTGACGCTCTACGTACGATGTAGACTCCATCAGATACATATCGATTTATTTCTGATGGATCAAGAATAGTTGTCTTATCAATAGATAGAAATAGGGGATTTCCCCTTATTATTGATGGATTCCCTCTATCTCATTCCTACTCTTTCGATCTATCAGAACGGATCATGCTATCTATTAATCGATTTTTAAATAGCACGTTCATCTCGCTTTTCGGTCATTTCCGCCACGCCAACATAGCCACAATAAGAAGAAGCAGGCGAAGCAGCTAGAAGCGCTCGCTTCTAGCCCTTGAATTCTTATTCACAAATGAATTGGGAAAGCCAACACAAAGATTAGATTCTGACTTCGTAGAGCCGGTGCTGCTGTTGCCTGCGCGTAGGGTGTCCCCCACTCCCGTCCCGGGGCGCTAAGGGGCTTTAGTTTTTGGAACAGACGGCAATGTTTTGCTGACGCCTTGAATCAAGCTTTTGTTGCGACATGCTATGTTTTCTCCCCCATTGCTAGTAGGTTGATGGGTCGCACGCCCGACACACATGTTTTGGCCTTGTCTTTTGTGTCCATAACTAAAAATAGGTGACCTAACGGCCGTCGCCCGACTAAACATACCAATAGTCACCAGATTCATATGGGCTACTGAGGAGTAAGCAATGATCTTCTTAAGATCGATCTGTCTTGAAGTGGTCAAGGAAGTATATATTATAGCAATCGCGCTTGGAGTATAAATGAAAGGAGTGGAACAAAGTGTTGCTTCGGGAAACATGGGTATTGAAAATCTTAAAAACCCGTGGGCTCCCAATTTTGAAGGAATTCCTGCCAAGATGACGGATCCTGCCGTAGGTGCCTCTACATGAGCTTCGGGTAACCAAATATGAACTGGTACCATAGGCACTTTGACGGCGAAAGCGGCGAAAGAAGCAATCCATAGAAAGATTTGGCTCCGCTGACTAAATTCTGTGGTTAATGATATTTGTAAATCAGCGGTCCCTGTTTGGAAAAGAATCAACAAAATAGCTAATAGCATAAAAACAGATCCAAGTAAAGTATAAAGGAAAAACTGATATGCTGCCTTGATCTTTCTTTGTCTCGAACCCCATACCCCTATAATAATGGTAGAGTAAGGGGTGGCCCCAAAGCAGAATTGACCGGTGGTGGTTGGTCGAAGCTCCAGTAACTAGCCACTCCCTTCTCAGGGAACCGTACCTGAGACTTCCGCATCATACGGCTCGGTCCCGAGCTTCCGTCGTCGGCCCTTGTCATTAGACCACTATCTATGCATGTATATTAAGCCTGGACTCTCGAATCTTTTGCTTCTCGGGTGGTGGCGAACAATGCAGCTTGCGTTGCGGGAGATGCCCGCCCGTAGGGCCCGACCCGCTTCTCGCCCGAAAGAACCGCTCACTTGCTAGCCGGACTAGTGGGGGGCCCTATCCGGAGACATACTGAAAACCATGCCTTTCGAACCGAACGCAACGCCCGTCTTCAAAAAAAAAGGGAAGAAAGATGGAGTGCGGCCTGTAGAGCACATGTAACGCACAGTCGGTTGCTAGAGAGAGATGTGAAAGTCATAGCCTTTCTTTTATGGCCGCCCCCCGACTCACGGCTTTACGCTACTACTACTGTGATGTGAGCGGTTCCAATTTGTTTCCCAATTCTCCTGGCCGGAACTTGTATGCAGCACTTATACGAAGGTGCATGCATAAAGGTTTAGAACTCTTTTCTTATCTGAATCTTTAAGACGGGACCCTACCCTATTATCAAACCCTCTACCGAGCTTAACCCTGCCTGCCCGCATTTCCTTTTTTTTTAAGGGGGCCAAAGAAATGTCTCCACCTGCTGCCAACAATCTTTCTTCGGAATTCTACTGAACGGGTCGATCCTCCCCTCCCGTTTGTTTTAGAAACTTATCCTAAGGTCTCCTCACCGGGAGCTCCCCGGCGACGATAGAGGAACCAACCCGCCTGCTGTGGCGGGGCGGCTTTTTTTTTCACAATAAGACCTGGACGATTATCCCTACCCTCGGTAGCTTACGAGTTTACGTCCATCCCTGGTTGGGTACAGTTTCCTTTCGATTTTTCCCTTGTAGCCGTTACCCGAATTCGCGCAAGTGTGTCCGCACCTCCCAAACTGACTTGACGAGGAATCCATTCTCGCGAACAAACACAACCCCTACACACACCTAGGAGCACCCCTTCCTGCATATCCATACAAGACCCGAGTAGGCGGGTCGAGGTCCTACGAGGTACCACTACTCGAAGTACCCTCCCAAAAGGAAAAAGATGTGTCTGTCAGGTTCGGTTCGTCTTAGTTGGGTTGGGCGGGTTCGACCAGAAATGTTATGCTTACGCCCGTAGGGGGTTTACTGCACAAGGCCCCTGCAGAGGAAAAGCTATATCCCAGCGAATAGAAGATGCTCAGCTCCGCACAACATAGGGATTAGCACGCTTTCGGGAAGAACATAGAATAGTAGAGGATCCAGCATGCGGAACACGGCGATCATTAGAAATTCACGAATTAGAGATGCTGTAATATACTCTTTCCCATAACTTCTCATACCAGACCAACCCACTAAAATACAAATAGGGATCAGAAATATGGTCAATATCACGAAGAAAAAAGAGAGACCGTCTATACCCAAATTAAAATTGATGTTTTCATAAGGAAGCCATCAAAGGCTTTCCACAAATTGAGATTTGGCCGTAGAAGGATCGAATTGTATCCGAGGAACAGGGGAATACAAAAAAGTAATAAGAGAGGCACATAGACCAATCAATCGTATCGGTCGTATTCTTGAATTTGAAATGAAAAGAGGAATAATTCTTCCTAGCACGGGACACAGAATAGGACCACTTAGATCAGAATAGCATTCACAGAAATGTTCTAACATAGAGTAGAATCGAACATTGAAGAGATTAGTTGACAACAGTCAAAAGATGGGCGCCTAATTCCAATACAATAGGGGTCTATCAGTGCAAGTCAGCTGAACACCGTGATTGATGAATGGGTAGGTGGGTTAGGTGCGCCTCTCGTCCAGTGGGAAGTATTGAGGCGAGTCTCCTCCCCCCTTCCTTTTTTTACTTTTCCTCTCTCCTTTTGCTTGTGCTTCTACCCGGGCTTTTCATTTTGATAGATTTTTAGAGACCCGAGGATATTTTTATAAGATTCATTGCTCGATTTTGCATGCTCTGCTCCCAAAATGCAGAGATACTTTCGAGGGCAGATCCGGGTTGGTCCGGGGAGAGGCGGGCTAAGTGAAAGAAAAAAAAGAATATGAATATAAATGGAGCTATGTCGACTTACGTACGTCTCATTGACCAAACGATCAGGTATACCACGCCACGTATCATCCCCTCTTTCTATAGAGGAGAGATAAAGAAAAATAAAAGAGATAGCGATCGTGCCGTAAGACCTTGTTCGTTTCTACTTGACGTTATTTTCCTCGGTTTTTTTATTTGACATTAAGGCCTTTAGTTTTAGTAGGTTTGGGCTAGGTCATTGCGCTCCTGCCACGTCTTGGCAAAGTAGGCTGATGGGCAAGCCTCCTCCTGCCGCAATGGTGTGGGGCGTCAGAGGCTGTTGCCTGCCCCGTCGCCAACTCGAAGGGGCTTAAGTTCGACGCAGAGCTTTTTGGTTGTTAATTTATAGTAGCACTGAGCAACATCCAACAGCTTCAGTCTTTCTGGTTGGTTTGCTTGCACTAAAGTGCCTTAAGTAGCCCTCGAGGAGTCCGTTTATATCCGTCTGAGCTTTCAAAGATATACCGACCGTAGGTATCTTACTTACCATCAGATACCGACAGTCGTCTTATAACATTACCGACCTTAAAATATCGGGTTTTCATCATCAGAAACAACCCGATTTCCGAGACCTCTTGCATTGCATTACCATAACAAAAAAAAAGAGATAAATTGCTCTTGTGACTCGGAATGAACCTTTCTCGGTGGAAGAAAGGAATAGCGATGGATTCCTATGAAGCATTCAGGAACAAGAAGATTCAATCGGACGATGAATTCATACGTGGTCCAAGGAAATAAAAGGTCTGCTTCCACGATTTCATCTATATCGAATCTTAATATCAGAATAGCTTATATAGTCATGATTCAATTCAGGTCCACTGAATTTTGATTGATTTATCTTCGGATCTGATTGGAACATTTGAGAAGTAGGAAGACTTTGGCGGGCGATTCATAATTGGTATCTAGAATATCTATGTCCTAGGACATAAAATATGAATAATGAAGAGAAATTAAAGATAATATATATCTAATCTAATAATTTTTAGGCTGTACACCTAATTTTTATTCCTGGGATTGTAGTTCAATCGGTCAGAGCACCGCCCTGTCAAGGCGGAAGCTGCGGGTTCGAGCCCCGTCAGTCCCGACCTAGGATCCGATGAATCGATCAATTCATCTCTGTAGGGGGGGGCTTAGGATCTAATTCCCAGCAGGAGGATCCTTCTTTCGTTTCGCATTTCTCATCGGACAAATCAAGGAATAAAAATTACAATAACTAGTACCGATTGATGGAGGAGAGACATATGTAGGTTGGTACAATCGGGGGTATCACCATATTTATTAAGCATATTAAGTAAGGATTCAAAGAGAGACCGTACAGGTCTGGCTGGCTTTTTTCGATTGTTCCTGGCCCATCGAATAGAGTAGCAATTTCTTTCCCATAACATTTTTTTTTACGATACGCAATTAACTTAACATAGTTACCCCCACAGAGTACTTTTCAGATTCAACCTACCTTTTCTTTCTAGCTCCGATTTTATTTTATTCGCTACACCTATTCTTCTTCCAAGAAATTTTTAATAATCGTCAACTGCTCTACTCTAATTCATAGGTTTTTTTTGTATTGATCCCGGGATCTATCGATACAATAGTATGGGCATAAAAAAAAGCAACCAAGTCATCCCTTAGCACAAGCACTAAGTAAGCAAGCTACCTTTTTTTCTAAAAATAACCCATAAAATATTGAATGACTGAGCACTCAAATCCTATCGCGAGTCTTGATACATAGTCTCTTAAGTCCTTTCCACAACTAACTCCCAATTTTATTCTCCATCGGCCCATCCAATCTAATTCACGACTCAGTCAGTAGACACTACACTAGTAGGGTAGTCAGTTATGTAATTAGTACTTTTTTAACCAAAAACCCCTCCCTTCTTGGATCCTAGGAGCAAGGATTTACAGTCCTTTAGAATAACCTTTTGATCCCGGCCCTTGACTTTCGTATTTTTGAATATCACAATTGAATCTTACTACCCAAGTCGATCCTATTGGCATAGGGCAAACGACGGTGGGATCTCGGTGCCTTTCTCTTGCTCTTGAAAGAATAGAAGTTGAGTTCGAGTTGTTATCATGCCGGATCAGAAAAGTAAAAAGCCATACTAAAAGGCTACGGACCTGCTCACGGGAGTCAGGCTTGTTCTGTAGTGGGCAGACGTAGTAGGGCCATCTGAAAGAATATAGGAAAAAGAGCCGCTGAAGAAAACCAATTACGTCGGGTTCTCAATTCCATGGAGTATGTAGTGAGTTTGAATTTACCCGGTTAGCTATAAGGTTCATTTCGCTACCGTCCTAAGGTTCAACCAACCGTTGGTTTGCTTTAACAAGATTTAACTGAAGTGAACCCGACGCGAAGTTGGTGAAACCTGAGCGTAGCTAATGAAAGGGAATACCTAAAATTCGAACAGAACCGACTATAAGCCCTGAGAGCCAGCAAGCAAACCCCCCAGACTCTCTCTCTAAAAAAAAGCCTGCGTAGTAAACTCCTTGTTTGTTTTCTTTCCGATAGCTGTCGTTTTTCCAGTTTTCAAGTCAAGCGAGAAAGCAAGTGGAATAATACTTTACTTTTTTCGGCCATTTCTCAGCAATAGCTACCTGAATGGAAGCAAGCTACGAGGATAAGAAGAAGAGTGGTCGAAGACTACGAGTCGAAGTTAAGACCAATCTAAGCCAATATCCCTCAGCTGGAGACTATCTAGATAGCTTTTTAGCGCTTAGCTACTTTATCCTTCTGCGCCGCTAGCACTACTACTCCTAGTGATAGGAATAACCTACTCTTTTTCGCGAGAAGGCCCATCTCGTCTCGGACCGGTGACGTATTCTAATGATCTGGATCTCTGGCTTATCTCTTACTTGACGGATTCCATTTCGGCTAGTGGGATTTAAGTGACGATAATCAGGGAAAAGGGTTGATTGGCTCTGATTAATACCATCTAAAAGTGCTTGCTTCATCCATTCGTTACTGGTTATTCTTACGCCTCTAGTGACTCTTGGAATCATGCGCATGGCTCCATGTCGGCCTTAATTTGGCGTCGGTGTAACGACTGGTGCAAGTAACAAAAACTACCTACGAGTCTCATTCTCTTGCATTCGTCCTTACCTGTATTCTATTCTATTGATCCAGTTTAGGCAGCTTTCAGTCTCTATAAACTTGATGGAATATTTCTTACACAAGATACAAAGTCATCAATCAATGGCATGAAGGAGTTCAATCAGGAACACAAAGACTTAGGGTCAGATCAAAATGGGTAAGCAAGCAAGCCTTGCAGTGTGACCGCAACTTTCTAACCGACACCGGCTACCGCAAAAAGCTCAGTGTAAAAAAAAAGCTAAAGAAAAGACCCTTCCATTATTATACTGAATATTACCTTTCAACCCCTTACGCAATGAAGCAAAGTTCTGAACTTTAGTTAGGGTCAACTCAAGATAACTCTTTCATCCGTCGAAGCAGAGACAGGAATTGCTACTTGAACTAGAAAGCATACTACTTAGATAATAGTAATTCATGTACACATCCCGTAGGCAAGGAAAGAGATTATTAGAAAGTCAAGCCAGTGTAGAGAGATAAAGTATAGTTACATAAAGAAGAGGAACCTGTTGCCAGAGGAGGCTATGAAATAGTTGCCAGTGATTGCTTTGGCAAGCTAACTGAAGGATCGAGGATAAAACCTCTTGTCAATAAAGACAATTTTCATAGAAAAGTAAGCGAGTGGAATAAATGGAACGAGTATAAAGGCTAGTTAGTAGGTGAGTTTTCTAAGTGTTAAAATTGTAATAAGCAGTAGTTAAGCTCTCAAGCGAGTCAGTCGTTAGTTTAGTTGAGAATCCTGTCCAGTAAGGGAAGTAAGTAGAGTCAATAGAGTTGAGTAAGTCCTTGTTTCTTTCCCTTTTATGTTGAGGGAGCTAGTAATGTAAGTGCTCGTCATGAAGATAGTATAGGAGAATATGGCCCCAATGATAGCACGAGCGAGCAGGGAAGCCCATGAAGTTGGGCCCATTTAAACGCCTTTTAACGGCCGTTTGATGACTGTTTCAGGTAGGTCTCAGGAGTTAAGTTTAAGGAAGATAAGATGTGCCAGTTATAATTACCAGGATCTGCCAGCGGTATTTGATTGAAAGAGTGCGGTACCGGTACGCATTACTTTTTTGAATTAGATAGCCCCTCCTCTAATTCCACGAATAGATTCGATCCATTAGATTATTTTTTACTCTTTCTTCTTTAGATTGCACGAGTTTTCTGAGCCTTAGTTTGCAGCTTTTGTTGAGCCTGCCTACCTTTCCTTCTTTCATTCTTTGTTGGCTCGCAGTGAGGGATATCGATTACTGGTCGTAAGGGGCGGGATATCTGGTTCAACAGCAGATCCTAATTACCCTTCTGGTGACCAAGAAGCAGGAGCGGGTAGTGGATTCTGCAGATTTATAGTCAATTTGTTCTCGTCCCCACATAAAGAGAAACAAAGCGAGCAGTACCCTTTGGTGTTCTCTACCATGAGTCAAGGGCTAGGAATCCACTGAATAGCTAGTGAGATAGATTGTGTCTAACAAGCTAAGAATCTCCAGGTCGTAAGCCTTTATACCCAGCTCTAGCTTTTTCTAA